AAGTTGCTGATGTTATCGGGCGTGGGACCGCGCAAGCATCTTGAAAAGCTGGACATACCGGTGGTGCACGACCTGCCAGTTGGTTCAAATCTACGCGATCACATAGCCCTAAGGGTTCAGTTTAAATTGGAAAACACATCTTTCGACGCGTTTGAACAGACGAGGCACATCGATTTATTATACCAATTCCTGACTCGCAACAACAGTCAGTTTGGTAACGGATCCAATAGTATCACCACTTTCGTAAACACCAAAGGTGACAGCGATTTACCAGATATGCAATATCACTACACACTACACCAACAAGGCGATGTTGAGTCCATCAGAGTCAATTTTGCAGGACGTGGCGAGAAGTACACAGCGCGCTTAATTCGGCAATTAAGGAAGTCACATTTGATCTCCTTTTTATTGTTGTCGACCAAGCCTCGCTCCGCAGGCAAAGTACGTCTGCGCAGTTCCGATTACCTTGATCATCCACGCATCTTTTCGAATTACTTTAGTGATCCCGAAGACTTGGCGACTATATTGCGCGGGATACGCTTCATCGAACGCTTAGAGCGCACAAAGGCCATGCGGGAACTAAATGCAACCCTGTTGCGTATACCACTCGAGGAGTGCGATAAGTACAAGTACCGTTCGGAAGCCTACTGGCGTTGCTACGTTAAATACTTCGGAGAGGCGGGTTATCACCAGACCGGCACGGTGAAAATGGGCCCCAGTAGCGATCGGGGTGCGTGTGTGGATCCACGCTTACGACTTTATGGTGTGGAGAACTTGCGAGTGGCCGATGCCAGCATAATGCCCGATGTGCCACATGGAAATACGAATGCACCGACGATTATGATTGGCGAAAGAGGGGCGGACTTTGTAAAACAGGATTGGAAAGAGGATGACCAAGGGGCGAATGAGTCAAAGTGACGTAGTTTAAATGCATTATAAGTCGAACAATTTCTTTTACAATCACGTTTTTTTTAACTAATCCTCCTCCGAAAATAAATGCATAAATTTCTATTCATTGGAGTCTCTCTCTGCACTGCTGCGTCAATCTAGTCAACTGAAACTAGTACAGGGCTTTGGAGGAAGTTAACCACCGTTCTCTGTAGGCTAGGGTATGCCTTGTGAGCAAGCAAGATTTCCGCTAAGAAGCTACTGCTGAAAATACCCCTTTGGGAATGAAAGCCCAAGTCACGACATTTTTTCACCACAGGGAAAATATTCAGGAAACCACATAGAACGAATTGACCCAGCTTTGAACAGGTGGACCATAAACGCGATATACTTGCAGATGATGATGATCTTAATGAACTTTTGCTTTACAATCGCTACAGGTTCAAAGAAAAAGTTAGGATCGAGCGAAGTTTTGATCTTACATCTGCACATTTTTTTGTAGGCAAGGATCCCTTATGAAATAATTAGCGCTAAAGGAACGACATTTACGGAGCCTTAAGGCCCACGAAAAACTATAGCAAGATCCCTACGACTTCACTGTCCTCACTCACTTTCATTTCCTTAGAGCAGGTCAATTCCTCACAATTCCTGAACCAGACCAGCAATGCTTATTCCTCACAAATCGTTGGGAACGAATAAAGGTTCTCCATCGTGAATTCAGTCGCTGATGCATGTAGGTTTATCTCAAAGCTTAACGCTGAGTGTACTTTTTATGGAGATCCTCCTATGCACGAAAAAAAAATACTGAAAGTCCATTCTGCCTTCGCAGCGGATTTTCTAATAAAAATTAAAATTTTTTGAATTGAGCCGCTCTCCGAAATCGAGTATGTTTTCGTGAAGCAAAATAATTTTTTGGGGAATTTAAATCTACGATCTCCACTTTACGGACACGGTCTACTCCTAGCCATGTTTTAAGACCCTGAACTTTTTAGAAGCCTTTTGCAGCTCAATGAAATACCTTTAATATTTAATTAACAAATTCGATATATTTTTTCCATACGCGAAAATTTACTTATAATATTTAAATAAAAAGTAAAATATCCTCATTGAACAAGCTCAGCAATCGAATGCTTCACAACAGGCGGGGTAGGGCTTCGAGTCGTCTTGTGGAATCTTTTTGCAATAATTAGGAGCAACTACATCGGGACAGCTAAAATAAATAAATAAAAAAGAATTTTTAGAATAAAAAAGCACCGTGGAGCGCCAACCAGCCTACGTCTTGGCAGTAATGCTGCCATCGTCGTGGCATTTGTACAAATTGCATTCGCCTTTTATTTGAAACTCCGCGCCGCTCTTCGCCAGCTGGCCACCATATTCGCAATCTTGCGAAAGAAATGAATTAGAAAACGTTTTAAAAATTATTTCATTCGCACTAACCGGCCTTTGCGCTCCCCAGTGATGTCACAAACACCACCAACAACAACGATCCAAAGACTCCAACACACTTCATAGCACGCGTTTACGGTGTTCTCGAAAGCGTAAAAAACTATCTCTACTCGACAAAGTTCAAACAGTGACTGTGGTTCGGAAATTCAATAGCAAAGCTTTAATAATAAGATTTGGTTTGCTATTTGCTATTTGTTTTCAATTTATTTACGCTATTTACTCTAATCGTTTTTCATTTACTTTTCAACAACTACTTGGCACGATCGCGGCCGCTTCGGTCAAGTTCCAAGTATGTAGATAGTCGGCTAATTTGACAATATTCGAGGCGATGATGCGCATTTGTGCGCTTAAAAGTGGGGACAGTTGGGCTTTCCCTAGCGTTAGAAACTGGTTCTGGTGGGGAAGCGGGTGATTTACGAAAATATTTTTGAATCTACTGGCCGAGCTCAGTGGGACTTTCCTGCGCTTTTCTTATGTTTGTTGTTGTTGTGCTCGAAGCCAACAAATGGACAAGAATATTTAAAATTAATGAAAATTAGAAAAACAAATACTTTTGTTTATTGACTTCTATAAATTATTTCTTATACATATATGACATTTATGTATATCTATCTTCATGCAATTTAATCAATACATTTAATTTGAACACAGCAATTAGGGTAAGGCCGGCTATAGTCGGGTGGCTGCTCGGTGCAACCGTGTCGCAGCAGATAACGGTCACAGCTGTAAGTGTAGATAAAATGGACGAGAAGTTATGAAATTTAAAGAACATATATAGAATTTGTTTGAAAGTGATCATACAAAAATTAATTGGAGCTACATAGTTTTTTGTTGAAAATTTACATATTTCTTGCTCGAATTGGTTTAGTCAGAACTGATATTTATAAAATTTAGTTCAACTTGAGTTGAAGTTTATTGAAAATTAATTGGAATTGCTATCCAAAAAAAAAATATTAATTTAAAAACAAAAACTAATTTAGTTACATACATACATACATTAAGAAAATACATTGAGAACTATAAACAATTTGGACTTTTTAACCGCTTTTTTATTAACTTCTCGTTTAAATTAGCGCAAAACTTATTTAGAATCAGTTATTAAAAAAATTTATTTAATTTCTCGTAAAAAACGTTGGAAAAACTCAGTTAAAATTAAGTTTAAAATTTTTTGCCTTCAAACATTTTTTTTTTGAGCCAAATTTATTTAATATAGAAGTTCCGATTGAAATTTTTTCTTGAAAAAAATATACAGAAAATTTAAAAAAATGTATTGTTTCAAATTGTGCCTAAAATTTATTCACAGCTAATTACCAAAAAGTGGCTTTCGCTTCAGAATTTATTAATAAATTGTATCGAACTTAAAATTTAATTGAAAATAAATTTTCTTTTTCAATTACACTTACTGCTTTATTATCAGCACGTAATCATGCCGGCAAGTGACCGTTATGCAGTGAAATTCAATATCTGTGGGATAGAGGGTCTCATTGACTGGTACTGCTAGCTCCAATTCCTCATAGTAACAGTGGGCTGGAAGAACTAAATTAGCGGGCAAAATTTTAAATAAGGAAAGAGATATTTTTCAAAAAAGATGAGGAAGGTGCAAAGATAACATGAAATTTGACTATGAATAAATAAATAAAAATGAAAATAAAAAATTATTTATAAAAAAATTTTAAATTCGGGTTTTTTTTTAAATTCTTGCTTAAATTGGTATTAAAAAGGCATCCCTCAACAATGGAGATATGTGACTACATCGAATTCATAGTGAATTCGCAGATCGCAACCATTTACAGTGTGTTTTGGGCCCGAATGCTACTTTTTTTGTTCTAAAAAATTTTCACTTAAACCAATTTGGGCCATATTTTGAGAGAAAGTAATGCGCTGATTTAGTGTTTTCGAAATATTCTAATCAAAAATTGGAGGTTTCAAGCAAAAAATTCCCAATCCGTTTTGTTTTTTTTGCAGATTTCAAAACCTCTTATTTATTTACTTGTAAAATTTTCTTAAAAAAACTATTAGAGCTAATCCTTAATTTTAGTTTTTGAAAAGTACCCAGCTTTTGAAAATTTCAGCTTTCAGAATATTTTCTCATCGAATCAGCAAGTAATCGAAAATTTTCAATGAACAGAATGTAATGAAAGTAATGAATTTGTGCCAAATACATACATATGTGATTTTTAAAACGTTCACTTACCTGGATGCCTGGTATTACCGTAATATTGTGTAGAGAATGTTCGGGATAACGGTAAAGTTGTGAAAATTAAAGAAAATAGTAACGGAAATATTTTATTAACTTTTCGCATGACGCTGAAATGAGAGAGTGAGTAAATTTTAATTAATAGAATTTCTAAATGGACTTTGTGCTTGAAAATAACTTTTTAGAAGGCTAACAGAAATATTGATGAGTTTTAAACAGCTTTATCTCATAATAACTGAGCTTGAAACAGGCTTTTATGAACGAAAGCTTTTAAAAGAGCTTTTATGGAGATTTAAAAAAAAATTATAGATGTTTTTCAAAGCTTTTTAAGCCTTCAATAGATTCAATAAGGGCGTATACAGAGTAAAAGCTCTTTGAAGTCACCGTTGCTTTACACATTTCACATATCAGTGATTATCATAAAGGGCTACAAATTCCCGAATAAATTCTAATGAAAGCTTGAAAAAAGCTTTGCTCACGAGCTACATAATGGCTGCGAATGTTTTACAGGGACAAGGATAGCGTTAATGATCTCTCTGGCCAACACAGTTCAGTTTAACCTTTTGCCCGGAGAAAACGACGTTCAAAACTGCGCTTTTTAACTTTATTGTGTTTGTGCGCCTTTTCGTTAAAAGAGTTACACGAGCTCAATTTTAAATATATGTATTTTTTATGAATTTTTGTTGCACACTTTTGTTTTTATGTACAGTTTTCCTAACACAAACACACACACACAATTGCAAAATAATCTAAACACCCATCCACCTACCAACTGATTTTTTATTGCTGTTGAAATTCACACCCCGTTATTCTGGTCAAATATCTAACGCGTCGCCGCTGCGCTTGCGAAGAAGCTCTGAGTGTTACTAAATTCAGTTGTGCAAATATTGATGACCGAACAAATGTAAATATTATTTATTTAAATTTTAATATTTACAAGCTTTTTAATAACCAAACACCTCCACACACACATACAATAAAATTTTATGACTAATTGTGATTATAAATTGGCGCGTAGCTGGTGTGAAGATTATGAAAATGAATTGACAAACATTCTAGACGAGGCTGGCAAGTGAGTCGGGAAGCGGCAGCAGCTAAGCTCAAGTTCAAGTTTATAAATGAAAAAAAATATTCACTGTTATATAGTGTTAAATATTTTAGTAGAAATGAAATCATAGCGGAGAAATAGTAGGCAAATGTGTAAAGAAGACAACAAAATGGAATTCAATTAATATATTTTGAATTAAAAAAGTCATTGGTGACTTTGGAGCTGAAAGAAGTGACATATTTTTAATTTATGAGGCTAATAACTTAAAAATATTTTGTTTTAATCTCTTAAGGTTTCTGGTTCTTTGCATTTACATATAACTCACTGAGGCATTGCTGAAAGCGTTGATATGCAGAAGACCAAAGGCTATCACACAGTTTTGCATATGTATGTATGTAGGTCAACCCTGTAACAATTTGGCTTCATAAAGTAGAGTAGATTACGTTATCAACAAAAAATACGTTGGAAAAGGAAACGAAAAACAAAAAAAGAATTCATCGCTAGCCCCCAAGCGCAAGTCTTCTAAATTTAATAAAGGTTTTATTTGAAATTGATTTCTAAAACTGCTTCAAAAATAATTAGCAGAAAATTTGTGAGAATAAGTCACTGTGTCTCTTTTAGGGGGTATATAATTCCATGCAGTTGCGAAAACTACTATAAGACTCTCTTAAACATGTCCATCAACCGGCATCACCTCGCACGACTTATGTAGATCATCAGACCTATCCTATCAGCGATAGGTGACTCTTACAAAGAATGAGCTCTAAGAGGAATTCAGATCATTATAGCGACATCATCCAATATGTATAACATCATTGGACACCACAGCAACCAGTTATGTTAAATTATGTCACGTCATTCGATTTATATCACATGATCTCCTCTCACTTAGCATACAAAAAGTTTTACCAGAAAAAAGAGCAGAAAATAACTTTTATCACGTTTCGATTGACATCACATCGGAGGCAATAAAGTGGCACCACATCACATCACTTGATTTCGAATAAATGCTCACTTTTTAATCGCGCATTCAACATTTTATAGAGCAATTCTATTGTGAATTTCACATCACATCAGTTGATATGACGTCGCGGCAAGCATCACATCACATGTTCGCTTTTCAAACGCTTAAATCTGCACGTCTTGAGATCACATTACCTCGTTTGACTTAGGTCACTTGATCGCTTTAGCAAAAATCATATCATTAGAGTTCGATCACACGATCCCATAACTGATGACGTTAGTATCTATTTTTAGGCTGCTGTCACTAGACTTACAGCAGCGATTTAGATAAAAACTCATGATACTTGGCGTACCAGCGTTTACAGCTGAGAGCTAGGTTTGGTCTGCGGATTTAATCAGGTCAGATTTTTAAGTCCCATCAGTTAGACTTCTTGGTCACCTTAAAGTTGTCAGTCTTTTTAGATCGCAGTCCCATCTGAAGTCTGAAACTACTATACGAATGACATCATAGGGAGCGCCACAACTGCTTCCAGCATTTGTTTTTTTCACAGTGTACTCTGCACTCAACTATTTTGTAGTGTGTGACGTTGAGTACCGTTAATTGTGTACTTGAAATGAAACTGAAATTAACCGCTAAAAGCAGATTAACAACAAACATAATGTTAAGCAGTGAACGAAATGTTTATAGTGTGTTGACCCAACACTTGGTGCAGCAAATAAATAAATAAAGATTAATTAGTAAAAATAGAAAAAAAATACAACAAAACAATAACAAAAATGTTCATATCGCGCGACAATCATAATCACAGGTGTCGTTGATGTGTTGAATTAATGCAAATAATTTATTGTTCTTGCACATTGCTTCAAACAATGCAATAAATATTGACATAGCTAAGTAAACACGTCTGTACGGATGTGTGGAATAAATGCGAAATCGACGTCAGCTTGCTGTTGTTAATCAACTTAATTAGCATTGAAGTCGTGCACGCTGAGCGAATGAAATGTTGGCGATTTTTCGCTGAAGTTATTTAACAGTACATACATATGTATGTATATATGTATGTTGCTTTTGATTGTCTTTGGGTGTTTTGTACCTTTGTATTCTTTTTCAGCTTTTTGTCTGCTTTTCAAGATTCTGTACCAATATGAACAGTTTTATTTGCGAAGCGACACGTATGTACGTAAGCATGGATTTTCACCGAATCAAAGTAAAGATTTTTAGGAATTTTTTACTTTTACGTCACGCAATAGTTTTCAACTGTAAAGTTGCGCTGCATTGAGGCTGACAATTTATCACTGTGGCTTATATGGCTTCGACCTTTGACCTTCATTTTATGTAAAAACAGCTTGGCTTAGGGTAGCTCATTGTGAGTTGTAAAGATACAAAATATTTATGTATACATACATACATATAATTCTGTATAAACAAAAAAAGATAAGTAACCGCTGAGATAATGACGAACAAAAGGGGATGGATAAATTTACATCAGCTAAAAAAAAAGGTGATAAGTCTCAGCTACTTCAAACTTGGTACTCAAAATATTTCTAAGAAATCGATTAAAAAGCTAGAAATTTTTATGAAAGTTTGTTGAGACTTGGATCATACGATTTTTGTTAAATAATGAACCATTTCTATTAAAAAAAAATAAAATAAAATTTTAAAGTAATAAAACAAATAGTCAAAACTTCCCAATTTGCGAATGCCGTACAGTTATGACAAGCACTATGTTCATATACATATATCCGGAAGTCAATTTTTTTTTCAGAGGGTTCTTGTTCTGCGTTGTGAAGTGATAAAAATAAATTTTTCGGGAATTGATTCGCAGGCTCATTTGAAAGAGCGATCCTTCCACTATAATAAGGGTTCAGAGCTGTTAAATTTCCGTTACGATTAGTAATCATTATTTTTTTGCAGTTTTTAATTTAAATGATTATTTTAGTTTTCTTACATAACCCAGCCATTAATAATTAATTATTAATTATAATTATCAAAAATAATCATGATTAAGTGCCATTAAAAAAAAATAATCAAATAATTACAAATAATCAAATAATCAAAGTTAATCAAATTGTTTTTTTAATTATTTTATTGTTTTTAATTAGTAGATTATCTTCAATTATTTGATTATTTCTAATTCCATATATGATTATTTTTAATTATTTTTCCAAATAGATGAAGTTGTGTTTTTACCTGAACACATGAGTTGTGAAGTATGAGGTGAACTTTTTAAAAAGTTTTAAACAGATATTTTTGATGTTCTTGCATCAAGGAATCCTTTTCAATGGTAGCAGGAACCGAAAAGGCATTCTTATATATTATTCTAAATTCATTGCATGCTTTTTTTAGGTGAAAAGAAAGAAAACAATCAAAAAGTTTACTTTTTATGGTCATTTTGAAGGTCACATTGAATAAATAATTACTTTGACCTTCAAAATTCAAATTTTAGATTTTTTGTCTTTCTTTTGACCTAAAAACAGCATATAATGAACTTAAAACAATATACAAAATGCCTTTTTCTGTTCCTGCTACCATTGAAAAGGATTCCTTGGTGCAATAACACTAAAAATATCTTTTTAAAACTTTTTCAAAAGTTCACCTCATACTGTTTTCAGGTAAAAAATGAAAACAATTGAGAACCCAATTTGAAGGTGATTTGAAAGGTGAAAGCAACTTTTTTTATACAAAGGCTTTAAAATGCTGTTAAATTTATTTCGCTAGATGTTTTTGTTCTCGAGATATTACATTTTGTCAATATCTACACTGTGCGGGTTTAACAATAACTTTTAATTTGCTAATTTCTTATATATCGCTCACACTGCAGCATTAACTACAGAAATTACATTCCCGAACATTGTACAATATATTATTCACTAGTTTAAATAAAATTAAAAAAAAAAAACATAAATAATTGAAAGTAATCAAATAATTATATTAATCATGTAATTAAAAAATTTCAAAAATAATTGAAAATAATCAAAAATTAACAAGACAATTATGTAATTAAAATTAATTAATTAATTGATAATTTTTTTTTTGTTAGATAATTGATCATTAATCATTAAAAAGGTGCAAATAATCGTATTTAATCATTAAATGGTTACCAAAAAAAAAACATGCTTTAATTAATAATCATTATGATTATTTAACAGGTCTGTATGGGTCTTGTTATTTATTTTACGTAAATTTCTGTTATATGGAAGGACTTGGGAGAAAATTTCTCAAATTCAGATATCTTTTGCAAATAGAGCCATAAATTTATATGCATTTTTGTAATGACAACCTACGTAAATCATATATGTATATCTTTAGGCTATATAAAACTTGAAACTGCGAATTTCCAAACCGTTGCCGACCTCTGAAACGCAGCCGATTTTGAATAAGTTTTTCAATTTGAAAACATATTAAAACCAAGTTTAGAAAGCCGCGTGGTATAAGCAAAAATAAAAAACGCTCTGGGGTAATAAGCAGCAAAAAAAAAATTCCATAGAAAAATATTGCGGTTTTTGGGGACTTTCGGAGCGCATTGCCGGCCCCTAAACCGGTTTTATTTTAATATATTTTGTACATCAAACTAGTCAAGATGTGAATTTTAAAAAACCACATAGTCCTGAAAACTTACCAAGAAAAATTTCCGGCAACGCACAAAAATGAAACGTGAAAATGGAACTTAACCTAATACTTTTAAAATCGGGTACTCTCAATCCTTTTGAGAATCGAGTTCTGAGTACTTTTGGTATCGTTACTGCCCAACACTAATTTATTTCCATCTCCTCTGGCCACTGGTCTTATATTTTTCTTTGACGCATGCAAAAAGCCCAAAAAGAAAACACGATCAGAAATAAGATACGAGTACCTACTATCCGCCAGACAGGTACAATTTTGAGCGATTAGCAAAAGCGGTCTACATAGCGTTTAATTCTCCGTTGCGCGAGAGTTGCTTTTGAGTCTTTTCAGATACTTTCCTGCTTAATTCCTAGTCGTAGAAATATTGGGAGAGGTACGGTGGAGATTGGGAAAGAGCTAAGGCGGCGTAGGATCCTCAACTAAACTATCTCTCTCTTCTCTCC